AAATTTTTTCAGTTCATGAGCAGAGAATGTCTTGAAGTTTATTTGTGCCTTTCTCAGTTTCTTTTATCACTCTTATAGTTTTCAGTGTAGAAATATTTTACCTCCTTTTTTACTTCTATTCTGAGATATGTTATTCTTTTTGATGTAATTATAAATGGGATTGTTTTCTTAATTTTTCTTTCTGATAGTTTGTCATTAGTGTGTAGAAACACGGCTTATTTTGTATATTGGTTTTGTACTCTGCATCTTGACTAAACTCATTTATTCTAACAGTTTATTGTTGGTGTCTTTAAGATCTTCTATATATAATATCATATCATCTGCAAACAGTTTTACTTCTTCCTTTCCAATTCAAATGCCTTTTATTTATTTTTCTTGCCTAATTGTTCTGGCTAGGATTTCCAATTATGCTAAATAATAGTGGTGACAGTAGGTATCCTTGTCTTCTTCCTGATCTTAGAGGAAAGGCTTTTAGCTTTTTACTATTAAATTTTGATATTAGCTGTGGCTGGTCAGATATGGCCTTTAGTATGTTGAAATATGTTCTCTCTATACCCATTTTATAGAGAATTTTTATGATTTTTTTTCTTCCTCATTATTTAAATTTACTTCTTTTCTTAAAAGTATATAAGGCTAACTTTGGAGAACAGTGTGGAGATTCATCAAGAAATTAAAAATAGAGCTTCCCTATGACCCTGCAATTGCACTACTGGGTATTTACCCCAAAGATACAGATGAAGTGAAAAGAAGGGCCATCTGTACCCCAGTGTTTATAGCAGCAATGGCCACGGTCGCCAAACTGTGGAAAGAACCAAGATGCCCTTCAACGGACAAATGGATAAGGAAGATGTGGTCCATATACACTATGGAGTATTATGCCTCCATCAGAAAGGATGAATACCCAACTTTTATAGCAACATGGACAGGACTGGAAGAGATTATGCTGAGTGAAATAAGTCAAGCAGAGAGAGTCAATTATCATATGGTTTCACTTATTTGCAGAGCATAACAAATAACATGGAGGACATGGGGAGATGGAGAGAAGGGAGTTGAGGGAAATTGGAAGGGGGAGGTGAACCATGAGAGACTATGGACTCTGAAAAACAACCTGAGGGTTTTGAAGGGGCGGGGGGTGGGAGGTTGGGGGAACCAGGTGGTGGGTATTAGGGAGGGCACGTATTGCATGGAGCATTGGATGTGGTGCAAAAACAATGAATACTGTTACGCTGAAAAGAAATTTAAAAAAATTTTTTTTAAAGTATATAAGGCTACAGATATCCCTTAAAGTGCTACTTTAGTTGTATCTTATAAGTTTGATAAGTTGTTTTTTATTTTAGTTGTTTTAACTAAAATTTTCCAATTTTTTGATGAAAGAACATTTGAAATATAAATTTTAATTTTCAGACATTTTTAGGGCTTTTGTTGGAGTTGTGATGGGCAATATGGTCCACATAAAATTTGTTTCTTGAAATTTGTTTAAAAATGGACTACAATTGGTCAGTATCCTAATGATTGGGTCCTATATTCATTAGATTATGCTTATTAATGGCTGTTCTGATATGTATATCCATTCTTATAAGGATTCTTTCCTTATATCCTTATATCTTTTCCTTATATCCTTTCTAATAAGCTTCATCTCTTTGAGTTGATGAATTAAATTCTTTCATTGATATATCTGATTTTTCAGTTTTTTTTCAGATGGTACCTTGAATTTTTGCTTTCTGGTTTTTGAATCTAACTTAAAAGATGCATCTAAGTTTTGAATTCTTAGATTTTCTTGAAATAATGAATTTTTTGTCAGTGTAATAGCCGTAAATACACAGTAATTTATTTTTCCTTAAAGCCCATTTTGTCTGATGTAAATAGAGTCCCACCAATTTTCTTTAGGTTAGCATTTTTTAGTATATTTTTATTTTTGTAACCATATTTCATCTAACCTGCATGACTTCCATTGTAAATGCATCTCAGTTTAGAGACATTAATACGTGAGAAAATATTTTGACAGCAGGTGAGATGTCATCAGTTGTGAGCTGTATTCTGATTTCAGATATGTTCATATATAAAAAATGTACAACAGGAATTTATGAAATAGAGTGCTTTTCAGCCTTTTTGTGTCCTTGTTTTTTTAAGTATATCTTTTTGAAGTAGTACTTAACTGGAACTTTTTATTTCCAGTGTAGTTAACATACAGTGTTATGTTAGTTTCAGGTGTACAGTATAGTGATTCAGCAGCTCCATATGTTACTCAGTGCTCATCAAGATATCTTTAACTGGAATTTAGAAAATCTAGTCTAAAAGGCTTTATCTTCTTTTTTTAATTTAAATTCAGTTTAGTTAACATATAATGTATTATTAGTTTCAAGGGTAAAATTTAGTGATTCATCAGTTGCATGTAACACCCAGTGCTCATTAAACTGGAGTTTTTAGGACATTTACTGATACATTTGGATTGATATCTACCATTGTATTCTTTGCTTTAATTTTTTTTTAAGATTTATTTACTTATTTTAGAGAGAGAGTATGGGGTTAGGGACAGAAGAAGAGGGAGGGAGAGAATCTTGAGTAGACTTCCTGCTGAGTGTGTAGCCCAATGTGGGGCTTGATCCCATGACCAGGAGATCATGACCTGAGCCTAAAGCAACAGTCAAATACTTAACTGACTGAGCCACTAGGCGCCCCATACTCTTTGCTTTCTATTCTACATTTTCTTCCTTTCTTTTTCTACCCTTTTTCTATTTCTCCTTTCTGTACTGATTTTTCTTCTCCTCCTATTGTATTTCTCTACTAGTTTACAAGTCACATACTATACTTTTCTTCTTGTATTGATACTCCATTAATTTTAATATGCATACTTAAAAGTTAACAAAGTCTAAAGTTAATATCTTTACTACCTATCCATATAAATGAGGACTTTGCATTGTTGTAACCTTAGTCATTTCATTCTTGACATGTGCTATTACTGTCCAGAATTCTAACTCTCTCATTGATGTATTTAAAATTCCACAAAGCAGGCATCACTGTTACTGTTTCATGCTCTCAGTATTTGTTTAGGCTTACCCATAAGCTTAAAATTTTCTTTGCTCACTGTTTTTTTCTTGGATCATTTCCTTTTTCTTGGAGTATGATCATTAATTCTTTTAGGAGAATTTCTTGGTATAGCTCTCAGGTTTTAGTTTTCTCAGTATGTGCACTTATACTGCCCTCTTTCTGGGAAGATAATATTGCTGGATACATTAGTCTAGCAAAGCACTTGTTTTTTTCTTACCATTTTGAAATAATAATTGTAATTTCTTCTTTTTTATTAACTCCCTCTCCCAACTGTATCTGCCTGTTATTTTACCCACTTAATTTCTAATGTCAAATATAATTTTTTTAGAAGTTTTTTGGTCTGTTTTTCAGAGCTGGAGGTTTACCATCAGCCACTGCTTTATTTTCTCTAGTCCACTAAAAGCCATGGCTGTGACAGGCAACTTTCTTTTGGTATGTGTTTGTTTACTGGTTTGTTTCCTAGCTCCTGGCTGAGCATGTCTCATTGGAGGTAGGACTTTTCCTTATGCAGAGGTCTCTTGTTCATATTTGCAATATACTTGGTCCCTGGACTCCAGAGCCTAGCAGGTATAAACACAGACTTCAGAAAATGAAATATGTATCTTTCTTTGATGCTTATGATATTTTCCACCATTAGATCTCTGTAAACCTATGAAATTATGGTTTCTGAACTGGATTTGCTTTGAGCCATATTTTTTTATGTGCTTTCTCTTTCTTTAGTTTTAATTTCAATTGTTCTGTTTTCATACGTATCTTGTAGACAACTTATTGTTGGTCCTTATCCTTTTTTTAATGTTTATTTATTTAGTTTGGAAAAGAAGAGAGAGAAGCTCAAGAGGACTCTACACTGATCACAGAGCTCAGTGCAGGGCTTGACCCCATGACACATGAGATCATAACCTGAGCCAAAATCACTAGTTGGACGTTTAACCAAGAGAGCCACCCAGGCACTCCAGTCCTTATTTGTCTTAATTAAACTTAAACATTTGGCTCTTGCTGTAAGGTTTAACCCATTAAAGATTTTTATAACTTACTTTGTATTAGGGATTATTCTGCCATCTTATTTTTTGTTTTGAATTTACTATTTACTGTATTTTCTTATTTTGTGTCTCCATTTGACAGGTCAGAGGGTTTTTTTTTTTTAATATTTTGAAGATTATACAGAATATTTATATGGTATTTTTTCTTATGTTAATATCATTGCTTATATTTTTAAATGTGTTTTTCCCTGTTTTTCTTTAGTATAATACCTCTTCTTTCTTCTAAACCAGATATCCATTTTAGTGCACTTCTTCATTTAGTTTCTTCTTCTTTTTTTTAACCTTATTCTGTCCTTCTCTACCAAATGGATGTCATTAGGAATTTCAGATATGGATTGTAGAGTGCTTCCTCTGCTTTACCTCTGCTTCTCCTTCTTCCTTCAATGGAAAATTGGGAGTGACCAGTTTTTCTGAATCTCTTATTATCTCCTCTTTGCTAAAGTTGAACTGACCTTGAACACTGCCCTATTATACCTCACTGACATTAGGCTGGTTGTGCTGTTTGTCTGCACAGCAGTGGATACTGGACAGGCAGTCATGTACTTGAGACAGTGAAAAAACTCATCTAAAAAGTTCTTTCCAACACATCTAAGTTTTCTGGTTTTCTTCTCTGGTAATCTTTTCTTTCTTCTCAGAATATTCTCACAGTTCTTATGTTAATTCTTTAGGTTTACAAACTTCAGGTCAACTTCTATAGCATCTTGAGGCTTAACTCCTTGAGAGGAAGTCAGCAGTCTATAGTAGATTGTCATTTTTTTCAGAAAGCTAAAGTCTTTATAATATCATTAATATAATTGTATATGGAGTGCTAAATATTTTGGAGTTGGCTCACTGGTAACTTACAAAATAGAGAAGTATTTCTTAATGGAGTGAAACATATTAACTTTAGTTTTAAAATTTTAATATTCCCAGTTCTGACAGCATCAGCAGTGACGAGGAAGAGCTGAGGACTTTGGGAAGCAGTGGTAGTGAAAGCAGCACTCCAGAGAATGTCGGGCCTCCTTTCATCATGGATGAGAATAGTTGGTTCAACAAGTGTAAGAGAGTTAAACAAAAGTATCAGCTAACCCTGGAACAGAAGGTATTTATCAGTTGCCAAAAGTCATTGATCTGATTCTCATTTTTGCCTTTGGACTGTCACTTCCAAAAGATCTTTTAACTGAATATAAGTGTTGACCCATTGCTACTTCCTTTCTGTACTTGAATTGTCCTTGTCTTGATGAAAAATCGTGCAGAGTTTTAAAAGAGGCTTTTGTTTGTTCGACTTTTTCTAATTTTTTTTTTAATATAAAAATTAGCCATTTAGGGGCACCTGGTTGGGTCGGTTGGTTAAACATCCGACTCTTGATTTCAGCTCAGGTCACGATCTCAGAATTGTGGAATTGAGCCCCATGTTGGTCTCCACGCTGGGCATGGATCCTCTTAATTCCTCTCTCTCCCTGTCTCTCTCTGCCCCTCCCACCCTCTAAAAAATTATAAGTTGAATTTTAAAAATAAGCCATTTATTCTTCTGTATGTCTTTTCATTTATATGTTTGAGATTTTAATGTTTATTAGGAGGGTAAATGTAAAGCAGACAAATATGAAAAGAAGAATTCTATAATAATATCATTCAAGATAGACCTTAAGGCAAAAGCAATATTAAGGCTAAAGAAAGACATTGCCATTGAGAAAAAAGAAACAGTTCACCAAGAATGTGAACATGGTGGAGTTGAATAGAATGGGTGAAGGTGGTCAAAATGTATAAATTTCCAGTTTACCCACTGCAGGCAAACATCTTATTGAACTTCAGGGAAGGGCTTTAAAGGATGGAGAGCATATGTTAAATTTTTGTATTCAATTAAAATGATTTTTTTATTATTTCATCATTAATACTTAGAGATTATTTCATTGAAATATGGAAAGAATAGCATTTAACCTACTCAGTATTGATCTTCAAGGTATACATTAGGATTTTGTGGTAGCTTTATCTTGTTGGTACTGTATTTTCAGGGTTATCTTGAAGAACTCTTACGACTTCGAGAGAACCAGCTGTCTGAGTCTGTATCCCAGAATAAAATACTACTTCAAAGGATTGAAGATTCTGATCTGGCTCATAAATTGGAAAAGGAACAATTAGAATATATAATTGTGGAGCTTCAAGATCAGCTGTAAGTGAGATCCTTTTGGGAAAATATTGGCAGTATGTAAACATAAGAAAATGTCATGTTTTGACATAGGATTCAAACTCTGAGAAGTCTAATTGTCTGCTATTAAGTTCTTTTTCCCTTACTCTTTTTAAAAAGTTTACTCTTCCTTTTTTGTGTCATAAAAGTGATTTATGCTCATGGCAGAAGTATTACAAAATATAGGAAGAAAATAAAAACTATCCTCAGGTGTGTGCTACCCAGAGTTAACTCCTATAATTTGATGTGTATTCTTTCAAATGCATATACATAATTTTAAATTATCTATTTAGTTATTGATGGACTGTTTAATTAGCTGATTCAAAAGATGGGATATAAAACCAGTACCACTCAAAGTACAATAATTGTGCAGTGTTTGTTCCCATGTGTGCCAGAGTATCACTAAGCACAGTTTAGTATAGCTTTTTTCCATAACAGTAGTTTTTTGGCTTTTTGGTTTTGGGTTTTGTTTTTTTCCTGAAGAAAGGTATGTATTGGTATAAGCTCCTTAATTTGTCACTATTCAAAGCACTTGTACTAATCATACCATTTCATCAAACTTGATTTTATCTAATAATTGTTTGTGGTAAAAATCTTCTCGCATTAATATTTATTTAATCTGAAAAGATTATTTTAAAAGTTTTTATTTTGAAATAAGTTCAAAATTTCAGAGAAGTTGCAAGGGTAGTATGAAGAATAAGCCCTTTCTTAGATTTACCAAATTTCAGCACTTGGCCACATTTGCTCATAATTCTCTCTCTCTTGCATACATCACAACTCTTTATCACATAATACTTCAGTTGTGTCTTTCCTGAGAACCAAGGTATTCTCTTATATAACCATAGATCATCTATCAAATTCAGAAATTTAAATGAGTGTGATACTTGCATCTTATCCATAACTCTTTCCAGTTTCATCAGTTGCCCAAATAATATCTCTTACTGCAGCTTTGTTTTTTCTGGTACAGGACCCAGTCCAGAATCATGTTTTGCATTTGGTTATTCATTTATTTAGTCTTATTTCTTCAGTCACATTTAACTTAGAACAGTTTCTCAGTCTTTGTCTTATATGAAATTGATATTTCTGAAGAATACAAGCTAGTGATTTTATAGAATGTCCTTCAATTTGAGTTGGTTTGCTTTTTCTCATGATTAGAATGAGTTTATCCATTTGTGGTTGGAATATAAGTGGGGTGTCTGTAAGTGTTGGGGATATCATATCCAGAGGTCCATGGAATCTGTTGGTCTTTTTTACTAATATTAATTTTAATCATTTGTTTAATGTGTTTTTCTCTTGGTATAGTTATTGTGTTTCCTTTTGTAATTATCATATAATTTCCAGGGAGATCCTTTGAGACCTAGTAAACATGAAAGATGGTTTTTTTAAGTAAAAATCTTCCATTAACTAACATAAAACTTCAGTGTTTTCTAGAAATTTGTGTCTTGGCAAAAAGAATTATGTTCACATATTATTTTTTTCTAATATTTTACTGAGAGTTTGTCCTGTGGAGTATCACTCATTGAGAGGCATATTAATACCTTCCATAACTCTTTGCTTCTGTAAGCAGGGAGAAAAATACCCAGAACTGAACAATGGAGATTTCTAGTTATTTCTTTACAGCTAGAAGAGTTGAAGATAATTTAATTTTTCCTTTGCAATTGATACTGATAGTTTGTCTCAATGTTTTTAACTTAAAAATAATTGTGAAATCAGTTTTTATTTTATCAAAAAGATACTTTCATTTGAAAAATAAAATGTGTCACATTTATTGTGCTTTTGATAATGTAAAGGAAAAGATTCAAACTTTTTAGTTTGAAAAAAGAATCTGAGTTATAGTTTTATTACACTTATATGGTAGAAGAGTATCATTGATACTTACAATTTTTTAATGCCTTTCAGGATATTTTAACTAAATATTACCAGAGCAAAAAATAAATACTGAAAGTCACCAATCAGAATTAAGCTATTTTCTTGAGTTTAGGGTCAAAGATGTACTTTCACATAACATGGCTATACTCTTAGCCAGGTAAATTGGTATCTTACAAGGTTCCTTTGTACAAAAACCACTTACAAGGATACTAAACAGAAGAGTAAGATACCTTCCTCTGAGAATCTTCTCAATTCACTACATTAACTGAATCATCTGTAAGATACAGAATAAATACTATAAGACATATTTGTGGCTTTGGGAGAAAGTGGACATTTTTTTCCCTTCTTTTCTTGCTGAAATTTTTTGTCAACACTTAGGAAGGCCTGAAATGAAATGTGAGCACTGGAATTCTCTTTGTTAATTCTAAGAAGACTGTAGTGGCTCTGAGAAGATTAAAATTTTAAACGTGTAAAGGAAAAGGTCAGGAGAGGAGTATTAAATGGATTACGAAGCATGTAATATTTGCTTTCACATTATGTTAATCATCTTTTCCTGGTTGATTTAAATCCTTTGTCACTTGGCTTATTCTTTTTATATATTTCTCAATGCTTAGATGTATTTTTGAGTAACTGTTAAAGTATGCTTTAATTTTTCTTTGAATACTCCTAAAATGTGAACATCCGGTAGTTTTGGGTAGAGTACAGGTGAGCATGGTGCACTAGAGGAGCATTCTAAAGCTTTCTTACAGATATGGACTGTGTTCAGAAACTGGCTTTGTATTTGCCTATTATTATGAGCTAAGTCTTTAATAATATCTTGGAGCCTCTGTCTCTTTATTTGTAAACTGGAAATAAAACATACTTTATAGATTACTATGAATATTAAATGCTATCATGTAAAATACAGTTAGAACAAAGGAAACATTCAAAGATTATTCCTCTCTTTTGGTCTATAAAAATCTTAAAATATCCTTATTAAATACATGTGGATAAATGGTAAATTTAAAATACTTTATTATGCCCAAATGCTACAGATCAAACAAATGAATTTAGACTTTGATTTTATTATCCCCAAGTTTCAAAATATTTGTTTTTCAGAACCACTTTCCAAATGGCATGTGGATTAATTTTATAATTAAGGTATAGATTTGTGTATATTGGGAGGAAGATATACATGACTACTTACTACTTTACTGATACCACTTTTAACTGTAATTCTTTCCTTCATCGATTACTGATGGAATACTAATTGGATTATTTTGGATTATTAGTCTTTGACTAAGGTGTATTTGGGTGATTAAATTTATGTTGGTGGAATTTTAAAGTGTCAAAAAATTTTAAATCTCCAAATAATGATTAGGAATAATGCCATTATTTCATTGAGAAATACAGCATCACTCTAGGTTTTTATTTTCATAGTTTTATTGTAATCTGTGGCATATTTTTATTTTATTTAGGTAAGTTTTAATTCAATTTTGCTTGCATGTTAAACTTCATCCAATAAAATAAATAAAAGCAAGCTTAATGTATTAGTTCCACTTTGAATCAATATATGGAAAGTCTTTCATAAGATTATGAAATGTATTGTTTATGGTCTTATAAAAACTCATTGTCATATTATTTATGCTATCTTGTGGGAAACCTTTTCATTTTTGAGTTTAGTTTTATTCAGTAAACATTTATTTAAATGTATAATTCTGTGCTTGAGAGTGCCAAGAATACATAAAATAAGGATATAGTCTGTCTTCACAAAGAGCTCATAAGTTAAAGAAGTGGACAGATGGACATCATTGGTCACATTGTTAATTGAAGAGAACCATACATGGAAGGAAAGGTTTGCGCTTGTCCACAGGCTTAGATCTATGTAAATGCTAATTTCAAATCCCAGGACTAGAGAGGCTCAGAATAGTGAGTAAAATCTAAATACCTTTGTCATAATTAATACCATTAAAATTTATAAAAAGGAGTTTTTGCTGTTTGGCTGATGCAGTTTTTCTATTTATGGTGTGAAAAGCTATAGGAATAGTAATGTCCTATAAGGCTCCCTCGTGAAGGAGCTGAAGAGTCTAGCTAACAGAAGTAAAGAACCACGCATTGTTAAAACTAGGGCATTGTTATAGTCGAACAGCCATGTTTGTGTAGTTCCTTGTGGGTAGTGATGGTGTGATCTGTCAGCCTGCAAACCAGAAGTCAGTGATGCTGTAGCATCCTGCTTCACAAGGTTTAGAGCGAGTGGCATAGATCCCAACAAGAGTGCAGTGATGTCATCCTGGCCCAGTTAATAGTGGACAAATTATGGTAGTTCCTGATTGTGTATATTTTTGGCAGGTAACAATTATTACTAAGAGTTAACATCATGTTAATAATATTGCATACTCTGTTATTCATGTAAACACAGAAAAATCAAGAAGATGCATCTGGAAGAGAAAAAAGCCAGATACCAGATAGTTAGTGTTAGGGTCCGTAATCAAAGGAGCGAGATTGATACAAAGCAAAGGTCAAGCAAAGCTTTATTTCGAGCCAAGCATCGAGAATCAAACTGACGGGTCAGGGCCGTCTCTTGCAAAGAGGTGACCCCTCCCAGCCTCACAAACTAACTTTTATAGAGGTAGTTTAGCCGGGCTATACACAGGTGGCCAATGAGATTGCAATACACAGAGAAAACTGCACAGTCATGCTAAGTCTGCCACACACAGAAAAAAAAAAAAAACTGCTAGGTAACACATGGGTGGCCAATTGAGTTTCAGTTCACCCTAGTGGATATACGCGTGCCTCACTGATTGGATGCCTGCCCCGCCCTTGCATCTAGGCTTTGCAAGTAAGTTCCTCTGGGAGGGGCAGGGTCAATCTAAGTTTACTGCATAAACACAAAATGACTCCCTCTGGCCAACCAGGCCCTTACAGTTAGGTCAAACTACACTGTATTGTACTTTCTTGAGTGATAATGGGAAATTACATATTACACCAAGAAATTACAAATTTGATATGGGTGTTATTTCATTGCCTTTAGTTATGATGTTTGATTAAAACTTCTGGCATATTCTTCAGTAGAGCAGATGTCAGTATATTTGGGCAAGGGGCCTACCAACAGTTGGAACTACAAGACAGTGTTTCAC